ATGATCTCGTGCCCTCATTGGTCATGTGCGCGTTCGTGTGTGTTGGAGGAGGGGCTCTCTGAGGAAGTGGCAGATTTTCTCCGGTCGTGTATTTTCAAATTCTCGCGATCTCTAGCCGGCTTCTCAAACTTAAATTGGAATATTTGGAATTAGTATTTTCTCTCTCCATTCATCTGAATGACAGAGCAGACCATTTGTTTCACAACTTTATTGAATAGTTATTCCAAAACATCAGAAAAAGGCCCAAAAATGTCAGTGTTTACTCTCCATTTACTTCAATGCATAATTTTTCCGAAATAAGGTCCCATGGAGTTCCACGGAAAGGGAGGGACTTCGGCTCTCTATGAATAAAAAAGTTGAGATATAAAAAAAGGCGGAATACTAAACTTTTTTTTCTGGAAACGTTGGAATAGAATCATTTGAAATATTTAGCAGAAAAAAAGATTGGGAACATTTTGTTTGAAAACAGTTAAAAAAATATATTGTTTTTTTAAAACAGTTAATAAAAGATATTAAAAAAAACAGTTAAAAAAAGATATAAAAAAAAGCAAATATTTAAATATTTTTAAATGACAGTTTACATTTTTTTTTGGAATATTTGGAATGAGCATTTTCTCTCTCCATTCATCTGAAAGTGGGCGTGGCCTCTTTAAACTTACATGACGCAATCACGCAGAGCTCCGTTAATGGAGAAGTGGGCGTGGCCTCTTTATACTTCCATGACGTAATCACGCAGAGCTCCGTTTTTATGTTTACATTTTATTGGAATGTTACAGCATTACACTCTTTTCATGCATTCAATTAGTGCAAACAGACCGTTAGGAGAAACAACGCTGACCTCATCTATAAAACTGTTCAAAGTGCTCTCAGTGTGTTTTCACAGAAAGGGGAAAACAGGAAAAATACAACAACAACCAAGACAGAAATAAAATACATATCCAAGGAGAAAGTACGGTTCTGTTTCAGTTGGGATCAGCGGGGAATTCTTTCAGAACATTAAATAAACAACAGCTTTGGATTCTTTTTGTATTTTGAAGGATTTCAGGTCCCATTGAAACTTATTTAAGAAAACAATCAGCTTGGGGGATGACTTCAGGATTAGACTCTCTGTGGCAAGACATGAAATAACATCACAGCAGAGTTCATCACCTTTCTTTTGCACGGTACCGAACACCACATTATCTCTGTGATAGAATCTGGAAGTCATGAGATTTCTTTCTTTATCCATTGATGGATATCAAACCAGAACCTCTGTCCAACATGAGAGAACACACGGTCCGTTGTTCCAACATCTTTCTCACACATCGAGCACGTGCTATCTTCAATATTGAAACGTATTCTAAGCAATTCCTTAGAGGGGTGAATGTTGTTCATCACTTTGAAGTGTGTGTCTTTGGGGTGGAAGAGGGAATGTTAGATACAGAGTTCTGAACTTATGAATCGACTTATTGTCAAATGTAGGATCTCATTTCTGTTTATCGAGCAGGGAACACTTTGTCTGAGACATTTCCTTATAAAGGGATTCTTACATTTTGTATCCATGATTAAAGTTCCTTTGGTGAATGATGAGGGCGGGTGTGGTTGTAGGTTTGGTGAGCCTTAACACTGTTTCCTGTTCAACACATATCTTCCAAAGTGTAGCACTACGGGGTGAAAGCTTAAGTACATATAAGGTTCCAGTATAACAATATCTGTTTGTGAAAGTCTGATACTGACACAGGCAATTTATCAAGAGTAAAGTTCCATGAAGGCGCTCACAGTCACTTTGAAACCTCCGTCCTTCATGCCTTTAACCATCACCTCTCTTTCTGTGACGTGTTTCTCCAAATGAAGTTCAGATTGATCTGGTTGATGGAATCAGTTTGTTTGGGGTGGCTTTAGAGTCGGCTGGGTAAACAAGGATTCCATCTTTGTCAGATCAATTCGGCCAAGTATTGAAAGGTCTCTTTGGAGCAATGAATTTAACTCAGCCTCGCATTCCTTTCTTTTTTTTTCAATGTTCAAACACTGACTCTGCTTCTTGTCTTTAGTAAGGTCCACTCAGGTATTGTATTTCTGATTTGAGTTAAATTTGGTAAGTTGTAAAATATTTGGAAGGACATCCATCATAACCTCATCCTGGACTCAGTTAGGATCACCACCATGATGATGTTATCAGTGGAGTGTGATGATTTGAGATCTTCTAACCTTAAACTCATTTGTTCAAATCATTTCTTATTTTCTCTGTTGTCATGGTAGCCATGAATGCTGATTAAGATGAATGTGAGTTCATCAATGGATAAGAATCAGCCAATGAGCATGAGCATCTGCAATATGGATAGGACTTGACCACTGACGTGTTTGAGTAGAATGGCGACCCCTGCTGGGAGGGCCATGGCTGAGGTCCGCTTTGTCTCGACACATTGTTTGGACCAAAACATGGCATCCTCATCTTTAGAGTGAGTCTCTTGAAGGAAAATAACATTGGCAAATTTCCCTTTACAGAATAAAAAGATACTTTTTCTTTTTGTGATGTTTCGGCCCATGACGTAATCACGCAGAGCTCCGTTGATGGGGAAGTGGGCGTGTCCTCTCCACACAGCCATGACGGAGGAACCAGAGTTTCTTCCTGCTGTTTCTGGTTTCTACACGGAGGGGTTTCTGCACGGGACGGAAGTGACGCAGTAGCCTCACTTTTGGAACCGCGCGCTGCAGAAAAATACACTCTTTGTTATTTTTGTTAAAATTGTCCATTTTTGGAGTAAAAATGGCGACGAAGCGAAAATGTGATGCAACTGTTCCCGCGGAGGAGAGCGACCAGCTGCTCATCCGCCCGCTGTGAGTATTCAACATCTAACACACTAGGTTCACTATGTCTCTCTCTCTCTCTCTCTCTCTCTCTCTCTATATATATATATCTATATATACAACACACACACACAGACACACACACACACACACACACACACACACACACACACACACACACACACACACAATCACACACTCACACACACACACACACACACACACACACACACACACACACACACACACACACACACACACACACACACACATCCCAGATCGCAGATCGCTCCTGTGGGGATTGTCCACAGTACTGAGTGTATGTAGCTTTGGATAAACGTGTGTGTGTGTGTGTGTGTGTGTGTGTGTGTGTGTGTGCAGAGGAGCCGGACAGGAAGTGGGACGCTCCTGCATCATATTGGAATTCAAAGGACGTAAGATTATGGTATGTTTCAGATAAAGACAGATTCTACGTGTGCAACTTTCTGACTTATTGACCTGTCTCTCACACACTTTCTGTGTGTGTGTGTGTGTGTGTGTGTGTCTCTCTCTCTCTCTCTCTCTCTCTCTCTCTCTCTCTCTCTCTCTCTCTCTCTCTCTCTCTCTCTCTCTCTCTCTCTGTGTCAGCTGGACTGTGGGATCCACCCTGGTCTGGAGGGGATGGATGCTCTGCCGTACATCGACCTGATCGACCCGGCTGAGATCGACCTGCTGCTCATCAGCCAGTGAGTGCAGGAGACACACACACACACACACACACACACACACACACACACACACACACACACACACACACACACACACACACACACACACACACACTCTATCTCTCTCTCAC